TCTCAACCAATTCATTTCTATTGTTACACGTTAAACCAATACCATTTTAGCATTTTTGAGTTTGGTGAATAGATTCACTTGTTCAACAATGTATAAAAATGAAGGTTGCTTTTTAAGTGGATGCATGGCAGCAATAGCTGAATTTTAGCATGACTGTTTTATATATCATATAGTCCATTCTTGCGTTTGTGATGAATACATTTGATGTTTGTCTATGAATGGTATTTTTTTAACTGGTTGGCTTTGTGGACAGGATGAAAAAGCTCAAGATTAGCTAATAACTCATGTCCTTAAAGTTCTACACCATCACAAACTAAAATTCATTGTACCTAGTCTTTCCTGTCTCTGAAATGGGGATGTTAGCCTTAGAAGAATGGTTGGGAAGACTGGAGTAGCCAACTTAACTTTTAGGTATTTCTTTATATTGAGTAAAGAAAATCTATCTCTGTAGTTCTAATCCATCTTCTTCAATTCCATATCCTGGAATTTGAAGAGTTGAAATTTCTTAAAATTGAATTTCACTGTGAGTTCAACTTGCAGTAACCTTTGTTTTAAAACATTTCTTCCCCTGCCAAAAACCTTTTTTCACAAGGACAGCAATTGAATAGGAACAATGAAACAACCAGGCAATGCCAACTGAAAGTCCTCTGGGCAATGTCAATGATCAGTTTCAGCAACACCTGTTTTCCCCTGGCCCCTATACTCAAGCCTGAGCTGAGATCTGCCCATGGTATATGTGCACTATTAATGAATCCAGCAGGGGACTTCAGAATGGAGCAGCTTTGGCTCAGGCTCAGCTCAACACTCCCTGACTGGGGATCTCTGAGGTCTCCTCTCCACAGCTCTTCATCATGCTTGTCCATCCTAATCATGTGTGAAAACAGTATTTGTAAAGGATCTTGTGTACAGTTGCCTTCAGAGAATGGAAGGTGGATATGCTTTAGGCTTCTGTCTTTAACGCTGTCTGGTTATTACTACTGCATCCCCAACTCCAACCCTTCACTGCTGTCTACACCTCTAGCTTAGTCTCACCCTAACTCTACATGGTGAAACTTTGACTAGACAAGCTGATATAGATGAGTGTTTGCAATGTATTTTGGCCTTGTGGCTCTTACTGGTTCATTTTTAGTACAAAAGGAAATAAGTTTCATTTGTTTTCAGTACCTGTAGACTTTTTTCATCTTTGACTTGAATAGGAAGATAGAACACTTACATCCCTAGTCCAAAGATATGTGAGTAAGTTTCATCCATTCAGTATTTTTGCTAAAGCCTTGAGGTTAAAAAAATTTAAACTAATGTTTTCTCTTGTTATTTTTATTCTAAGGCAGTGGGTGTTGTTCCTTTAGCTTCTAGTTGTCTCATATTTCTGTTGTTTTAGACTTGTTTACAGATGTTAGGTGATAATATTTACTAAGGAATACAACAGGACTCTCTGGAGTTGGCCATGAGCCTGGCTTCACATTGTTGCCACAGAAAAGGCTCTGTCGTTGAATGTACAGGCTTTTGTAATCTGCTTCCTGACTTTCAAAGGTCACCTTTGGTGACTGGATAATCTTAACACAGGAGGGTTTCTGCTGGGGTTAGAGTAGGACAGGCTGTCTCACACCAGCCATTTAGCTACTAAAGGAATGTTATTCTTTGCCCTTGAATAATGTCCTTGCATTCTTCCACCTCGAGTTAGTCAGCTGCTGGTCAGCTGATGTGACTCTTATGTTTTTGCCTGTGTCATTAGTCACCAACTTTAAATTCTCCTGTACCGTTCACCAGTTGCTTCCAAAACAAACATGTTTTGGGGGCTCATGTGGAAAGAAAGAGGAGATTTGAAAGAAGGTAGTGGCTAGCTTCTCTGTTGTTTTGTCTTTGTTATTAACCCTAACTACTGTAATAATGCATGGGATTATGCTCCAGGTATTAATATTTTATTCAAGGAAACTTTTGCTAAGCCCTAATGACCACCAAGTATTCAAAACCATGGTCACAACTAGAAAATGCTTCTGAACTAAAGGGAGAAACTTTTTTCTAAGAGAATAGATTTATCTTTCATTTCTCCTGAATATCTGAATGTGAATCTCAATAGCATTAAATATTTCTGCTACATTTACTCTGGTTTCTGAAGCAGTCCTTTACTTTCAGGTGGTTTTGAGTTGTTAATGACATCAATACAAATTGCATGCAACAGCTGAAGCTTTCTGTTTTTATCATGTTGCAGATAATAATAAACCATGTGTACACATGAAAGGTGTATAATGGCATCATACTTTGTATTGTACTAGGTATGTAATTGTACATACCTGATTGTACTGATCTTTAATTAAACAACTTTATCAAGTGTAGGTCACTTTTGCATTTTTAAAAAATTGTTTTTTCCATTAGCTAGAAAAGATCATATGTTCCAGCTAACACATTTTGATCATAACTGAAAATTTTTATATCAATCACAAGAAAGACTAGATACATATGCATTACAAAATGCAAAGGAGTATTAAAACACTAGAGTGGGAATATCAGGTCTTTAAAATGCACAGCCATTTAAACCACCTAATCATGGTCTCCAAAATTATGGAATGAAAAATGTTATTGAATGTGATATGTGTCTATAATCCCAATGCTTGGAAGCCTGAGGCAGGAGTATTTCCACCAGTTGGAGGCAAGCTTGGGATATGTAAGTTCTAAGCTAGTTCCAACTGGCTCCGTCCAAAAAAGAAAAAAAGAAAAAAAGAAAGAAAAGAAAAAAATCTCAAGGGATTATACATGACCTTAACTTTCCAGACCTATTCATACTTTAACATTTTTTCTCAATGCTTTCCATTCCCTTTGTATGTGTGTTGATTTTTGAGTAGCTGTAGATCATAGAATTTTACTCTTACTTTGTGGGGTCTTTTTAAAGTGCTTCAATTATTGCTTTTATATTCATGGAATTATGAAACAACTTATTTTTAAATACATGAAAATCTCATTAAATTATATTTTAGGCAAGGGATTTCAGAAGGTTAGATACACCAAGCCTTATGCAAGGTGAAAGTTACTTGTAAGGTCAAACCAAACCAAAGAAAAAAAGATGAAAGATGTTTTATTTTTATTTAGCTACCTCTTTTTCAAGGAAATGTATCTGATAGACATGATATAAATGCCAAACTAGACTCAATATTTTGATATGTCAACTCATAAACACATGAAGTTCAGGTCAATTTCTTTTTCTTTAAGAAAAATAAAATGAAGGACACATCTTAATGCAAATAAAAAGGCTTTTATTGGTCTAATTTTATATGACAAAATAATATAAATTAAAGAACTAAGAATCTGAAGTTATGAGTGAAAATCAGGAAATTCCTTATTTTTCAATTTTAAAATAAGTTTATAGTTGAAGAAAAAGGAGAAAATCAGAAAACTACTTCCTTATCTCATTCTAAGTATTATTATATTCTCTAAGTAGTAATAATATTGTATCTCAGTTGAGAATCAAAACATGGTGGGTGTTGCTTTTAAGATCACGGTGCAAGTAACATAAATATGTAGAAACAGGTGGATTGTGACAGATAATACCAATAAAACATTTCTAAGTAAAATAAATTCAAAATTCCTATAAACCATCATATCTACAAATGAAATAAATTCAGCATTGTGTGTGTCAATAGCTATCACTGAAAACAGGAAGTTAACTGTAGTAGCTATTATGGCCTTTAATATGCTTTGGTCAAAAATGTAAATCTTACTCATCATAGCATGATAATATGAGTAACTTGGTGAATTATTTTAATGGTCATTTTAAATTCAAATGAGTTTAGTTATTCTCATAAGGAGGATTTTGCATATAAAATTGACAGTTTTTGAAAGACTTTTTAAAAAATATATATTAAGACGATTGTGTGTAAGTAGTTTGGTTATTATGATCTTGGAATTTTGCATAACAAACAGATTGCCTGTTGAATCCCCTGGTCGTGTAACCATGAGATCAAGCAGTGCTCATTTGCCAAAGCAGGAAACTTAAGAGTTCTAACTGGAAAGTTCATGTATTTCCATTCTCTGTCTTTGCTCATAGGAAAGAATTTCAGGAACCTCTCACTGCACTGTCCAGCTATAGACATCTGATTCTTCTCAGTCACACCTAAAAGTTCATTATATTGATTTATTAATAAGAAAAACCTATCATTTTACATATGTAAGTCTTATTTTTCAAACAGAATTAGCAGTGATTTTGTATTTATTCATTTTTGTTAAATGGTAATTTTTCCTGCTTAAGTAACAAATTTAATAGTGATAACTATTATTTTATTGTTATTTCATTGCTAGTTACTGTAATAGATTTTTTCAATATGTTAATTTGATTAATGGTTATGATTTGGGGGTAGGTACTATTGTATCTGACTTTCTTTTTCCCTTTTCAAGTAAAGTAAATTGGACAAAAAAAGGAAAATTTTGTTAAAAATTCCATAGACTCAAGGAGTGTAAATGGTCAGATTTTAATTATATCCTGTGGTGTTTCTGGAACATTATTCTACTTTCAATGTCTTATTGAAATGTCTCTTTGGGTCTTTTAGTTAATATCAGTGGTTTCTTGTATTTTTATAGAAATTTCAAGTTTTTAGTTTGCAAACACACCTTCTTATATACATTATCATATTAAGGGTGCAGGGAAAATCATTACTCAGGAAAAATAAAAATTACCGTAAAATTTCAAAGATGGTCAATTTAAATGAATCTATGATGTTTTACAAAAAAAAACCTTCATTTTGTAAATTTGAGTTTGGAGAGAAAAGATGTTAAGTGGAGAGACATTGCAGTTAGACCATAGGCTTTATGTTGGTGATAGGAGCTCATTGAGCTAAATGATCTGTCCATGCTTAGTGAGGAATTTAAATCAAAGTGCAGGGCTGTAGAGAAAGCCAGTACCAGTGACAGCCGAGGCAAGAGAAACAGTATACCAGAACTAGTTCAGACATAGAATTAGACTCTTTCCTCTTAACATATGCTGTAATTTAAATGTTACTCTCTTTTTGGTACTTCTAGGAGTCAATCTTAGGATGTAATGCTTCCTTGGAGACAGTGACAAGGATATCCAGGCACCAAGAATTCAGACCAGTGTGCCCCTGGAGCTACCTTGTGAGTTCCTTGATGGGCAATGGTATTTTAGTCCCTCTGCTTTCCCTGGCTCATGACATTTGTTGAACTGGGACATTTTAACATAAACAGATCTTGAATTTCATCTTCAGTTTTTGTCCCATAGCAGATTATGATTGTTGAGCAAGTTTGTCATAGGTTGTGTGGCTCCTGTTGGAATTACCTCCCTGGCATGTTTCGTCATCCCCACTCTTAAGAGAGCAGACTGTAGCCTCTGTTGTCTGGTTTCAACTCTTAGCTCTGGTGCTTCCTGGTTAAAATCTGCTCAAATACAGTATCTTTCATCTACAAAATGAGAACATTATAAAGTTTCTTCATATTGGCTGATGTGAAAGTCATTTTAATTTATTTGAAGTACCTGGAGCAAGTTAGCAGATCTTAGAAGCCCAAGAAACTTAACTACTCTTGTGATTTTTGTATTTACTCCTTAACTAATATGTTCCATAAATTTATTCTCCTTTTAAAGCAGATTAGACATAGGAGTGTCCAAAATTTAGGAGTGGCTGACATTGGACTATTCACATTTAAATGGAATTAAATACTGTCAACAGCACAATGTGATATATGCTAGTTTTTTAGATGCCATGCCTTTAAATCATTTTCTCCCTTGTTTACATTATCACAAATATTACTTAACTAAATAGTAATTAAGCACAATTAGCAGACTCTACAGTGCTTCATTTCATGGGAATCACTTACCTTCCTACCATAGCCTTTTTATAGTTAGTCTTCAAGTTTGTGTTGATATCACTGCTCAAGCATGCAGATATCTTGGCACCAGCAAGTGTGGAACACCCTATATTAAGAGGCCTAGATAAGAAATGTTTTGAAAGTGAGGGAAACCTACTCAGGTTGTTCCTCTCCACGATGTACTGTGAGAGACATTTGCTAGGTGGATGGGTTGAGATGTTCTTCATCTGGCAATGGTGGTGGCTTTTTAGGTAAGAATCTCTATTTGATATGTCTACTAGGACTTGGTCACAGGATCTATACTGTAAGATACATCTTTTAATTTAGTCAGCCTGCACAAAATGCATGCATCCTAAATGTTAACGGAGAAGTAGTATCTTTCCAAGGCTTTCCAGGTTGAGGGCTAAAACCCCATGATCCTTGAAGTAGCATAGACACACATAGCAGAGTTGGCAATGTGGTAAAATCTGTTTACTCCTTCCAGCTACCCACACGCAGGACATCGGCACTGTGCTGTGTGTGCCAAGCTGTTTTTAATTGTGCATTCTCTACAGAGCAGCCTGTCTGTGCCTGTCTTTTAATCCCTCTGCACCCCACTTTCTGTATGGAAGACAAATCGAAACAGAACATTCTTTACACAGACATCTGAAACACGAGGGAAGCTGCCCATTTAAATTGGGTGCTTAGATATTATATTTACAAGTCTGTTGGGTATGTGATTAGGAAACAGACAATGGCACTGAGCTTGTGGCTAAATGAGATTTCTATGTTGCTCTCAAATAGAGCTGAGAGAGAGCAAATAGAGAGAGGTCGAGGACACCACCTCGACCTGTTTTGCTGGTGAATTGGTGGTACTGTTCAGGCAAGTCATTTGGTTGTCATGTTACAATTCCACCTTTCCCATGTTTACTAATCCATATCTTATTTACCTGAATATAGCTGAGTGTCACAGAACTGTGAGGGGCTTTCCCCAAAGCACTGATGATATGGACATGTACAGGTCTTTGGTGGCCTCAGAGATGAATTTGAAGTCTATACAAGTCATTATTCTTGTTTGTTTGTTTGTTTTCATATCCCAGCCAAAGTTTCCCTTCCCTACCCTGTTCCCAATTCCTCCCCCCACACCTTCCCTCTATTGCCCCCATTCACTCATCAGCCACTGTTTCTCTTCTGATACAGGCAGGTCTCCCGTGGATAACAACCAGCCAAAGTGTATCAAGTTGCAGTGATACTAGGTTCCTCCCCATCTGTTAAGGCTGGATGAGGCAATCCAGTAGGAGGAATAGGGGTCCCAAAAACAGGTAGTAGAGTTGGAGACTTCCCCTGCTCCCTATGAGCCCAGATTAGTTGGTTCTGTTTTTTGTTTTGTTTTGTTTTGTTTTAGTGGTGTCCTGGACCTCTCTCTTTCTTTCTCTGACCTCTACTAATGTTTGGCCATGGGTCTCTGCATCTGCTCCCATCAGCTGGCTGGGTGAAGCCTCTCTGATGATAGCTGGTCTAGACACCAATTGGTTCTGGCTGGTGTGGCCTGCCTCATTGTTCTTTCTTACTCATGCTTTAACTTAAATTCAGAAGTTAACAGAACCATCATTTCAAGAAAGGTGAGCACAGCCAGCTACCACATCTTTATTAGAAATGCACACTCTTCCACCACACACACTCACTGTGTCCTCATTCTTAGACTTATAGTACTGATCCTATGGGCTGGCATCAGGGCTAAGGACCAAATGGGGCTTTTACTCTCAGGCTCAATTGGCCCCATAAATGCTTTTTTTTTAAGCATTTTTAAGTGTTTTTTTTTATTGTGATTCTTTTTATGCAGTATATTTTTGTCATTTTCTTCTTCCCCTAATTCCTCCCTTCCTCCTGGACTCTTCCCACTTTCCTACTTACCCAACTTTATGTTCTTTGTCTTTAAAGCAACAGAAAGAAACACACACACACACACACACACACACACACACACACACACACACACACACACAGAGAGAGAGAGAGAGGGGGGCATGAGAGATGAGAGATCAAAATAAACAAGCAAAAACTCCATAAAACAACAACAACACTCCAGCAAATCAAAAGGAGGCAAAAAGTCTACAAAAAATACTGTTGAGTTTGTTTTGTTTTGCGAAGCTACTTTTGGGCATGGGGCCTTCCCTGAGGTATGGGTTAATATTCTCAGTGAGACTCCACTGCACAAAACTGACTTTTTCCTCTGCCAGCAAGAGTCAGTTGCACATAGCTTCTTGGTTAGATGTAGGAGTCCATGTCTTCTTCTCCTCTTAGTGCTGTGAGTCTGTCTACCTTGAACCTGTACATGCCTTGTGTGGACTGCAATACTCTTTGTGAGTTCTATGTGCATCAGTCCTGTTGTGTCTGGAAGAGACTGTTTCCTTGGAGTCTTCCATCACCTCTGACTCTTAAAATCCTCCTTTTGCATAGATCCCTGTGCCTTGAGAAGGTGGCTTTGATGAAGACATCCCATTTAGGACTGGGTGCTTCAAAGTCTCTCAGTCCCTGTACAATGTCCAGCTGTGCATTTCTGTGTTAGTTCCCATTTACTACATAGGTAATATCTATCTTTTTTCTAATTTTTTATTCAAGGCCCTAATTTACTTGTACAACAGAATATCATTAGAAGTCATTTTATTGCTATTTTTTTCTTTTTAGAACAGTAACAGTTGATTTTACCCTGGATCACTGGTCTATCTAGTCTCAGGTTCTTGGTCACTCATGCAGTGTCATGCAAGGATTCTATCTCATGAAATGAGCCTTCAGTCAAATCAGATATTGGTTGATTGCTCCCACAGGCTTTTTTTTTTTTTAACCATCATTGCATTAGTATATGTTCCGTACAGGACACCATTGTAGATCAGAGAGACTGTGGCTGGCTTCATGTTTACATTTCTCTATTGGCAGTATACAGAATACCTTCTTATACCAAAGGGCCTAGAAAGTAGGGGCAGCAGTTTGAGTGCTCCATATCATCCAGAGAATCAGAACCTGTGTTGCTTAACAGCTTTGTGATCCAGAAGATGCCTGTAGTTTATCGTTTTATGAGATTTTTATCTCACATTGTAGCCCATGTGAATGTATGTGGTACTGAGTTAAGTCCTACAAGACTCTGCAGAACATTGCTGCCTCTAATAAGACTATGCCTATATTATAGCTGTAATAATTTGGCTGGGTATCTCTGTATGCATGTATATTCCTCACAGGAAGAGTACATGTGAAAGAAAGGAGCACCAGCCTTACTAACCTTGAAATTCCTCCTAGTCCTACCATAATGGATTTTGTATGCTAGCCACCCACTAAATGTTGGTTAAACTAATTAATTAAGCACAAAGGGAAAAAGCAGATTCAGCTACCTTCTTAGAGAGGCATCTACTCAATTCTTAAATCTGATGTTGCACTAGAGAATACAGCTTGAATATATAATCGGTTGCAGATTTTAATTTGAATTTATCTCCAACCTCAGCTCTCCCTTCTCAGAGGAAGAATCTGCCCTAGAAAAAGGCATCACAGGGTGCTTTCTTCAAAATCCAGCTCTCATGTCTTAAAGCACCTGAAAAAGAACATGGGGTGACCTTACCAACCCTGGTTTTGTTTTTCCCCTTTTCCTGAAAAAAAAATCATCATCTAAATGTAGAAGGGACTGCAGGGTTGTTTTAGCAGATGTGTTTGCATAAGAAGCTATGTAATGCCACCAGGTAAGTGGTAAGCCTGAGACTCTGATTATATAGTTTGTTCAAGGCCAGAAAAAGGCTATAAGTCCACACTGAAAGCAAAAGCCAGTACATATAACAAAATCAAAAACCTAGAACCCCAGTCCTATAGCACAGTGAAGGACTGCAAGCAATGAGTTATGTTAGACTAGGGAAACAGGTGAGACCCCAGGGCAAAGAGACCCAGTGAGGACTCCAGGGCTGGTGACATGGCCCCTCAAAGGCAAAGGAGCCCATTGTCCTCTGCTGATAAGGGGTCAGCAAGAATATCCTGTCTATGCAGAGAAATAGCAGACATAAAGGTAAACATCGAAGCCTTAGCAAGCCTCGGGGTGGTACAATTCACGTTAACTGTCTTTGTGCATGAATTTGTAATGTTCAGCCGAGCGTTGGTGGCACACGCCTTTAATCCCAGCACTCAGGAAGCAGGCAGATCTCTGTGAGTTCGAGACCAGGCTGGTCTACTTCCAGGACAGCCTCCAAAGCCACAGAGAAACCCTATCTCGAAAAACAAAAAACAAAAACAAAAACAAAAAAACAAAAAAGAATTTGTGATGTTCTTTATTTTCA